CCTCGAAAAAAATATATATATATTTAAATCCGATAAAAATACTAAATATCTATAAAAATAATATAAATAGATTTAAACTTCCTGAATGTTACTGTGAAAGTTAGTTACATTGTACTATAATTCAAAGAATTGAATGGAAATTAACTACATATTGTATACAGGATGGACCGGATTTAATTTGCGTATACAGAGATCTCGTAAACCGTAAGATATACTTTGTCGGTTAAATGGGGAAAAAATTTCGTATTTTGATGGATAATACAATGGTCCATAGAAGTTCCAGATTTTCTGACTGGTTCCGGAGATATTCGATAAAATCCGAAAAACTCCATTTTCGTTTTTTAAGTCGTGCGTTCTTATTATTAAAAGATACAAAAAAAAATTATACGAAGTTTTTGTTATAAATCAAGTTCCCTATAATCTGCCATGTCAAAATTTTTATTACGATGTTTCGTATTTCCAGGGCCACTTTCAACTTATTTTTTTAAATACGGACCTGGATTTTTAACTGTAATTTTTTATAGCTTTTGTATAGCTAAATACAACAATATGTTACACTTTACCATTTTACTACGTTTCGTCTATGAAAATATCATCAGCTATGTAGCTTCTGATGATACCATTTATTACTCGATTAAAACAAGATAGCTAATTAAACAATAATTAAAAAACAAAAAATGTTTAAAATGTGAAATTTTAAATATTATTTGAAACATAATACAAGAATTATTTAATTATAAAATGGGTTACAATTTTTTATCAAACATGATTAAGTACAACCAGCAAACAAGACTAATGAAGAACGAATTATGGTTGTACACATTCTACAAATAATAAAGCTAATAACAAAAACATAAAATGAAAAACAAAACGGTCAAGCAATCTATAAATTCCTATCACCTGATTTTCTGTAAAATCTTTCGCTTAGGTTTCTCACACCGTATTTCTTCTATCTTTAATGTTTTCATTTTTGCATACATAAGATCTTAACAAAATCATGTTTGCCATGCATGTCAGTTGTAACTTGTCAACAATATTTCTGTTATAATCTGTAACATCTAATATTACAGTACTTTTTAAGCTTTAAATAATTTAAAATTAAATAAATATTATGGTTCGTTATACTGAAGAAGAGAAGAAAGATATGTATGATGTGTACATAAGATGCTATAGGAATGAAACCCGGTCAGCTCAGACTTATTTAGATTTATATCCTGATAGACAACAGCCATATAAGAGGATGTTTTCTTATATTTCAAAAAATATGGCAGAGCATAGCAGTGTGAAAAAAAGGAGAACTAGATATCAGGTTCGACATACTGATAATGAAATTAATGTTCTTGCCCAAATGCATATTAACCCTGAAAATTCTACTAGGCGAATAGCTAAAGAATGTGTAGTAGAAACCTCCACGGTTAAAAGAATGTTAAAGAAACATAAATACCACGGGTATAAATTTCAAAAAGTCCAGAAATTACACGCTGGAGACTGATAGAAGACTGATGTTTTGTCGTTGGTATAGTAGAAAACTTCGCAATGACGGTTCTTTCAACAAAAAAAAAAATATGGACGGATGAATGCTCCTTTACTAATAGTGGAATATTTAATCCCAGGAACAAGCATTTGTATGCTACTTCTAATTCCCATTTAATCAGAGAAGTTAGACCACAGTTCCGTTTTACCCAGAATGTGTGGCGTGGACTAATCAATAATTAGATTATTGGGCCGATTTTTTTGGATGGTAATTTAAATCAGTTCCGATACCTACATTTATTGGAGGAAGTACTCGATGAGATGCCCTTACAAACACGACAAAATCTTCAATACTTTATGCAAGACGGTTGTGGTGCACACAATGCTAGGAGGGTTGCAGAGTATCTCGATCAATATTTTAGAGGTAATTGGATTGGTACCAATGGACCAATAAGATAGCCTCCTCGATCTCCGTGTCTTAACCCCATGGATTATTTTGTATAGGGCTTCGTAAAGAACCAAATCTACGACAAAAATATGCCAAATAATCTACAAGAAATTCGTCAACGAATAGTAGATGCATTTGAAAAAATTACACCAGAAATGGTTGATAAAACTACATCTCAAATGTCTAGGAGAATTGCACTCTGTATCCAACAGAATGGATTACATTTTAAGCAACTATTGTGACTGTTTTTGTTTTTGAATTTTGTTTTTGTTATTAGCTTTATTATTTGTAGAATGTGTACAACCATAATTCGTTCTTCATTAGTCTTGTTTGCTAGTTGTACTTAATCATGTTTGATAAAAAATTGTAACCCATTTTATAATTAAATAATTCTTGTATTGTTTCAAATAATATTTAAAATTTCACATTTTAAGCATTTTTTGTTTTTTAATTATTGTTTAATTAGCTATCTTGTTTTAATCAAGTAATAAACGGTATCATCAGAAGTTACATAGCTGATGATATTTTTATAGTCAAAACGTAGTAAAATGGTAAAGTGTAATATATCGTTGTATTTAGCTATACAAACGCTATAAAAAATTACAGTTAAAAATCCAGGGCCGTATTTAAAAAAATAAGTTGAAGGTGGCCATGCAAATACGAAACGTCGTAATAAAAATTTTGACATGGCAGATTATAGGGAACTTGATTTATAACAAAAACTTCGTATAATTTTTTTTGTATCTTTTATAATAACGCACGACTTAAAAAACGAAAATGAGGTTTTTCGGATTTTATCGAATACCTCCGGAACCAGTCAGAAAATCAGGAACTTCTATGGACTATTGTATTATCCGTCAAAATACGAAACTTTTTCCCCATTTAACCGACAATGTATATCTTACGGTTTACGAGATCTCTGTATACGCAAATTAAATCCGGTCCACCCGAGTCATTCCATACAAAATCGTGTGAAAATAAAAAAAATTGTTGCCGATCCATTTTAGATTTTGGTGTAACTTTGAGGAACTATTCCTTAGGGTCGCGAAGAAGAAAATTTACACGAGTTTGATTTTTATAAGCACTCCTTTTCACCTATTTAAATAAAGACTTAAAAAAATCGATATTTTTAAGCCTTGGCGACTTTTCCTCTGAAATTTTTCTTTTTGAAGAAAACTACATTATTAAAGCGGAATTCTGAGGGGAAAAGATAGTAGTTTAAGTGTAGGCATCGATAATTTGCTCAGTCAATACCTCTGATTAACGGCAGCGTGCTGAAAATGAGTGTTTTTTGATAATTTTTTGTGAATTTCAATCGACTCTCAGAAATTAAGTGTATATATCAGATAAAATACAGCCACAAGTCAACCTAAGCAGCCCACCCTTTGCAGAAAAAAAATGCTTGAAGTTTTGAAATTTTCAAAAATTGCATTATTCAGGTTATATAATGAACGTGTTGACTGCCAGATAAAAATCTGAAACTCTCAAAATCTACTGATCTTACCTTTAACTTTAAATGACCGTACCACTTGTTTTGTTATTTTTATGTTTAGTGCATGTACGAGTCGTTTTTTTTTACAGCAAAAATCAACTCAATTTTTTATTTCTTTCCAAATAACTAGATGCTTCTATTTTGAAAAAAATTTCGACCTATGTATAGGATTCTTATATATCTTTATGAAAAAACATCAAGAAAAACTGAATTTATAAAATTATAAAATAAAAAAATTGAGTTGATTTTTGCTGTAAAAAACGACTTGCACATGCACTAAACATAAAAATAACAAAACAAGTGGTACGGTCATTTAAAGTTATAGGTAAGAAGTTATAGGTAACCTGAATAATGCAATTTTTGAAAATTTCAAAACTTCAAGCAAAGTTTTTTTTTGCAAAGAGTGGGCTGCTCAAGTTGACTTGTGGCTGTATTTTACCTATGATATATACACTTAATTCCTGAGGAACATAAGCTGCTAAGTCTAAGCAGTTAAGTCGATTAAAATTCACGAAAAATGATTAAAAAACACTCATTTTCAGCACGCTGCCGTTAATCAGAGGTATTGACTGAGCAAATTATCGATGCTTACACTTAAATTACTATCTTTCCCCCTCAGAATTCCGCTTTAATAATGTAGTTATCTTCAAAAAGAAAAATTTCAGAGGAAAAGTCGATAAGGCTTAAAAATGTCGATTTTTTAAAGTCTTTATTTAACTAGGCGGAAACGAGTGCTTATAAAAATCAAACTCGTGTAAATTATCTTCTTTGAGACCCTAAAGAATAGTTCTTCAAAGTTACACCAAAATCTAAGATGGGTCAGCTTTTCCAATTAGACCGTTTTAAATGGAACGACTCACCCTGTATACGTTAAAATTAAAGTTACAGTTAAATACCGCCTTTTATATAAAAAAAAAGTTTTAGACGAAAGTTTTATAGTTTTTTGGGGAAAAAATTTGGCTAAAATCGTTTTTTTATAGCTAACCATAATATGGGCCTATGTTTGCGCAACAAAATTTTCAAGCAGGTGTTACTCAATAAGTAAAAGTCCAATAAAAAAATGTTTCCTTTAAAACTTTCTTATTTTTTATGAACTTTAAGAATATGTAAACAATATGGGGTTCCAATAAGTCCACCTCGATATGGTCATAATATATTATGCTCAGCTATAAAAAAATGAATTTAGTCCAAATTTTCCCCCAAAAAAACTATAAAAGTTTTGTCTGAAACTTTTTTTTATAAAATGCATATTTTCGACGGTATTTAACTTATAACACTTTAATTTGAACACCCGGTATAATTTCATATTGTTTTGACATTTTTTCTTGCGAATTTTGATTCAGAAGAAAAAGTTTCGTCCCACCCATTATTAAGGTAAGAATTTTACTGTACGAGTATCTGTAAGGTGGGGAGAGTGAGTTGCTCTCCACATCACTTAGGCCTCACTAGGCCCACTGTTCCTTTTCCAGCCACTCAGCTCGCCAAAAAACTGATTTCCCTTCTAATTTCACCAGTATACCCAATCGATGGTATAAACAACAAACATAATTCTGAAACATTAAATATCAATTTTATGTACCATCCTACAATGGCTCAGCATCCTGTCGTTCATTTTCGCCATATAATCGCAGCCTACCACCGGACAAGCAATTTTTTTAGGTTTGTCGCACTCGTGGATAATATGTCTCTTTAAAGTGCAATACAGTTTGTAATGTTTGTTGCATTTCAGGCATTCGAAGTCTTCTTCTGACCATTTTTTGTATCCCGTCAGCGGTGGTGGTTTCTTGCCGCAGAAATACCGTGCATGCCGTCTTAGAGAACCGAGGACCTTGAACGTTTTGTCGCAATGAGGACAAGGATATATTGCGTTGGGACTCACTCCTAAAAAACAGGTCATATCAGAAAAAAAAAGAGAAAGCGGGTTGAATAAAAATAAAACAGTAAAAAAATGAAGAATCGAGTTTTAACTATAGTAAAAAATAATATACTTTTATAATCTATCTTTATTAAAAATTTTAAAAAAATATATAGAAAAGAATGTATAAAAAAAATAAATAGAAAATATCCTAAAAACTTATATGTGATCAAATAAAAAAAAAATTATTTATGATTATAATCATTTATAGATCTTGTTTATTCTTCCTTCAAGTTTTTTATTGTGTACGCCTATGTAGTGCTGTTTTAGAGAAATTGCGTGTTTGAAACTCCTGTCACAAACATCACAATTAAATTGTGGTGGTTTATTGCATCTGTAGTGCTTGTGGTAGTTATAAGAGCTTTTCGTAGTATAGCTCTTGAAACAGCTCTCGCAGAAGAATTGCTTTAGCCCTAAAACATACCGAAAAGTTATAACAAGTAATGATAATATTTAACATATTTTTAATAAGAATAAAATAAGAATACCATGATCACAAGAATAAATAATAACCAGAATGATATCTCTCATTTAATTCCTTTGCATAGTCTATTTTTATGTATGAGAGAGTAATAAAACAGCATTTCTAATGCAAAACTTAGTACGGTCATTTTAAATATTTTTACAGAATAATCTAAATATTTCCTAAAATTGTAATAAATGTACCTGAGCTATTACAAGTTTTGGGTCTTTTATTGGTCCTTTATAACCATAAGCTGTACAGAACAATAGAAAAAGGTTTGGACAGGCCAAAAGCCCTGTGTATTAAAGATTACATAGCCGTATCTTAAGATTATTTTCAATAAGTACCTATTTGCCAATTTTGTTTTATTTTAATTCCAAGAATTTCTTACAGTAATCGAATTATAAGTAGATAAATACCTTCCCAACAAATTTCACCGAAAATGCGATTATAGGTTTTCCATTTAGTAAGGAGGTCCAAGTTGTGTATTCTTGACAGTTTACTAAATGTCGTTTAGTTGCAACTTGCAAGGTGCAGTGTGAATTCTAGTGTGATTATGGAAAATTTGGAAGGGCCGCGTAAACGACAAAAAATCGGTCCTTTAACAGTTAATGAAAAAACATTAATATTTAATTGTTTTAAATCATTTACAGACAAACATTTATGTAAAAGTGTTGATGACACAGTGGAATTAGTTAGTAGTACGCTTGGAGTTGGGAAAACTACGATTTACAGAGTTGTTAAAGAAGAGAAATGTGGCGAGTTTCAAACAGCAAGTAAAGCTCCAGGAAACCCAAAATTTCAATTAGAAAATCTTTTGAAAGAAAGACTTCGAAGGAAAGTGCATGCGTTCTTCTTTAGAAAAGAATTTCCGACAGTAGACAAAGTTCTTGCCACGGTTCGAGATGATAAGGATTACCCTGAAATGACTCAAAGCACACTGGAAACTTTTAAAAGAAATAGGTTTTCTATGGAAAAAGCATTCCAGAAAGTCTATTTTAATAGAAAGAAGCGATATTGTATTATGGAGAAGAAATTACCTTAGGACTATAAAAGAAATGAGAAACCAAAGAAGAAATATATTTTATTTAGATGAAACATGGATCAACGAGGGACATAAACCAAATAAATGTTGGCAAGATGAAACTGTTACAAGTCGAAGACAGGCTTTTTTAAATAATTTATCTACTGGTTTAAATCCACCATCAGGAAAGGGGCGCAGACTAATAATAGTACACATCGGTAGTTCAAACGGTTTTGTTAAAGGTGGTTTATTGACTTTTGAATCTACTCGTACCGGTGACTACCATGAGGACATGAATGCTGATGTCTTTAAAGAGTGGTTCGAACAAATTATAGATCTTCTTCCTCAGAACTATATAATAGTAATGGATAATGCAAGTTATCTCTCGAGACTTATATAAAAAATGCTCACAACCAAATGGTTAAAAAAAGATTTACAGAATTGGCTAAATTCAAAGAATATTAAGTTCCATCTCGGTTCTGTGAGAAAAGAACTGTATCATTTGTGTTCCCTTCATAAAAAGAAATTCAAAAAATATGAAATTGATGAAATTGCAAAAAATCGTGGGATGACGGTGGTTAGATCACCACCATTTCATTGCGAAGTAAACCCGATTGAACTGATATGGGCACAGATGAAGGGAGAAGTTTCAAGAAAAAATAATTCTTTTAAAATGAGTGATGTTAAACAGTTGTTTTTGGAGTCTGTAAATAATGTGAAGCCTGAAAACTGGGAAAAGGCAGTAAATCATACGTTTAAAGAAGAAGAGAAAATGTGGAAGTTGGACAATATTACTGATGAAATGATCGAGCCACTCATTGTAAATATTGGTTGCGACAGTTCATCTTCTGATTTCGATTCTGATTTGGATTTGTAGGTAAGAAATAGTTTTTATATTAAAATTATTATTTATGAACGTAACGTTGTTTAAAAGTCAAAGTTTAAACCCTTATACCTACATAACCCGTTTGACACAATGTTCTTAACATACCTTGTGAAAAAATAGAACATTTTAGAAAAAATTGCACTTTTTTACCTTGAGCTGTTTAGAAGTTATAAGCAGGTTAATTAGGTGAAAATATAAGTGTATACTCGAGGAATAACTTCAAAAAATATTTTAACTGTCTATTAAAAGAAGTGGTACGCCTATGGATTACGAAAGCTTTATTATTTTAATACTCTCTCATACATAAAAATAGACTATAGTCGATGCCGACGAGCTATGACCTCGTCTTTTAGTTATTACATGTATTCCATAGGCGCACCGAAAAAAAGGTCAAGAAAATAAAAAAAATATTGGGTAGCTATTGATTTATTTTTTATGTTCATACATTACAAATATAGGTAAGTAAAAGATTTATATATACAAAAAAATATTTACTTATCTTTCCAAATGACAACTTTTTTGTCTTTTATAGTTTTAAAATTTCGGTTAATATATTTAACAGTATAAAATAATCTTACTCTACCGAATAATTTTAGTAAATAATTATGTGGAAATTTTTCACATGGATGTGAAAAACTTGTATTTCTACAAATACTTTGAAACGTATCTATTACATTTTTGTGTATAATAATAGTTTCAAAATTTATTTGAATAATACCTCTAAAAAGGAGATAAATATTACAAAATCATTGTGTGGCATGGTTAAGTTACCAAATTAATCTAAATTGCAGCTGTTATAAGCTTTATAGTAACAAAATAAAGATGTATCGTCCAAATTTTGATAGGCTTTTGAATATTTCTCGCAAATTGTACAAGAATGTATAGATAGGCATTTTTTCATTAGGTAACCCGCAAAATACCATTCGAAATTCGTTTCTAACGTGGACTCTTTTTGATAACTGCTATCAATTTCTGACAAATTTGATTTATGGGGATGTGTATGAGCTACGAATGAATTTGTATCCTCTTTAATGACATCAGATACTCGTAGAAGCATATTATCCATGTCATCTCGCAGTTTTGAGTTCCTGAATTGAGTAGCTTTATATCTAATTTGAGTGATTACCTGAAATGTATCATACCAAGAAAATATTAGAGATAATTTAGTTTTGTAGGCCAAAAAAGAAACATTTTGATTCTTAAAAAAAGGTATTTTTGTATATTACTCGAGCCCAAATCATTTATAAATAAATAAATAAATAAATAAATACTGGTAAATCGACTACTTTTAATTGCGTCGTTGTTCTTGCTAACCAGCATGTAAACATTATTTTCTACTCATGTACTATCATTTGTTAATTAAATGTTAATGTTCAGTTTCATAAAGATATTCATTATAGCACTGGTTTTTCATTATAAAACTAAAAAATTGATGATTAGAAACCTATATTTTGTAATAATCATGTAAACATCCAGTTATTTTTCCCAAATAGTTTTAGACAATTTCTGGAAGATTTATGTTCTGTGTTAGTTTGGATCTTTGATTTTGAAATATCTAGGTATTTTAAATTTGAAAAAAGATGTCCAGCAACGATAATGTTCCATGTACACTACTCGAAATTGAAGGAATAAAATGTATAGTCAACATTTAGACTGAAAGTTAACAAAGGAAGTATCATCCTTTTCTAAAAATGTGTTGCTTTGAACAACTCTCAACCAAATTGAAATACTCGTTACTCCATTTTTAAAACACAACTGAATATTAAATATAAAACTGATATGTGGGAGAATACCCAAAATTGCTATCATATAAAAAGAAAAAGTTCAAAGGATATAGCGGAAAAAAATCCGAAACACTTTTGGGAAATAAAAAAAGATTTATTATTTAGTTGTCTTAACAAGTAGTCATAACAAATTAGATTATCTAAGGTTTTGAGGAATTAAAAGCATTATAATTTTTTAAATTATTCTATTTTCGATTGAAGAACTGGTTCTTGTTCGTAGAAAAAATAGGGTATGCAACTCTTATGTAATTCTATTAATACATGATCGTTGCATAATATACTGTTATTAAGATATACCCTAAGTACTGTGGGGCAACCCACCCTCCCTCAGATTAAAGATACAGAAAATATCCCAAAGTAACAGCTAATTTAAAACACTCTGTATTTAACTTATATATTATACTTTATTTATATTACCTTTCAACATCTTGAGGAAATCTGTAAAATGAATGTGCACCGATATAAGATTTATTTTTGCAGTCTTCATATCTACAAACAAATCCAACTTTTTTTTGTCTTCTTCCATAACTCACACTGCCATTAAAGCACAACAAAATCAGAAAATATCCAACGATAAAAATATTTAAGCAAAATAGCAGAAAAAACAGAATAATAATAATAATAATAATAATAATAATAATGATAAATTCACGTTTTCGATACCACCGCCCCTGCCGATCGCTACTGCACTAAAAGTTTCGGTGTAGAATATCGGTGTAGGTATGCTTGAAGGTCACGAGCCCTCGAAGATCACGTGATCGGAGATACCCTTCTGGTTATTATTTATTCTTGTAATCACCTCACAAGTCATAAAAATTCATATTG